GACCATCGGTAGACTCAATTAGAATTTCTATACTTAACGGAAATTATTAGAAATTCATACTGTGTCTGTGTCATTGTTCCACATAATCTCATTATGCGAAATACACTCATTAAATATCTCACCATATTAACAGTGCAGATAACACCGTTCCATTCTAAATGAGAATGACATGTATTAATAATGTTTTAATTAAAGATTCCTAACTTTAATTAAATTCATTATGAACATTACTTTTTTTATTAGTATCCTTAAACATTATCCTCTTGTATATAACACTTATATACAATGTTTAAGGTTACATAAATAATCATGGAATTTTTATTGATATTCATAAAATATTCATAAAATATTCATAAATATATGCACATAAAATAATGAATAAACTCTTTTATTAAATAAATAATAAATATCCTATTACATCTCATGCTTCTAGGACACCATTCCTAACAAATTCCACCATAAATCCCACACAACAATTCACTCTCAACTTCTCATCTCACTCTCATTCTATCTGTCAACTTGTCTCTTTGATTTTGATTCTAAGTTTTTTTCTCGCGTTAACTCATTTTCTTGCTCTTTCATTTATAAAGTTTAAGTTCAATCAATTTCGAGAAAATGGCTATACCAAACTTCCATGATTTCAGGAAGAAATGATGCCTCCTAACCCCACCCCCACTGAACCAGATAATGCTCCGGTGCACAATAAGGAAGCTGGAGAACACAGTAGGGAAAAAAGACCGTGAACTTCTCCGGCACGGCAACATTTCACAGAAGAGCCCCGGCCAAATCTAAAAATAGGTGAAATGAAATTTCGTGCGGTATGTAAATATTGTAAAAAACAATTTTCTAATAAAAAAGGTGGGGGTACTAGTCATCTGGATAGACATTGAAAAGTATGCCTACCATTGCACCAAGGTGGGAGTGTGGACTCCCGCCAAAAAATATTATCACTTACATCACAGGGGTTACAAAATTTTACATATGATGCACAACGTGCTCGTGAGGCACTAGCTAAATTTCTAACTAGTGCCGAATTGCCTTTTTCTTTACAGATGATACGTCGTTTGAAGAATTCATCTAGACAGCCTTCTGCCCACAATTTAAACGGGTAAGTAGAAACATAACTCGTTCTGATTGCATGAAAGTGTTTAATGCAATGAGACAATCTCTTATTGATAATTTTAGAACTTTTAATGCTACTGTCTCTTGCACTTCTGATATGTGGGAGGGGTGCAATAAAACTGTATATTTATGTGTCACAGCGCACTACGTTGATGACGATTGGGTTTTACAAAAAAGAATAATTAGTTTTCGTTTATGTCCATATCCTCATAACGCATCATCTATTTTTGGTACAATAATAGAAAATTTTGGATTTTATGGGATAGAGATAAAGTTTTAACAATTACTTTTGATAATGCGTCAACTAACATAGTTCTAATTAACATGTTTAAACGTAGTTTGAAACCATTGTTTGGGGGGAAAATTTTTTATCAATGGTGTGCATGTCACATAATTAATTTAGTAGTTCAGGCAGGAATTAAACATATCTCAGCTAATCTTACAAATATTAGAGAATTATTATCATTCATATCTAGTTCTGGAGTTGGACTCCAAGAATTCAAACAATATTACAGAAATAGTCAGATGCACCCAATAAAGTTTCCAACTAACGTGAGTCATAGGTGAAATTTACATATTTAATGTTGAAGGCAGCACTCCCGTATTCGCAGCTTATCACGACATACGTAAACAGTAAGAACAATCAAATTTTAATTTTTGATCCTGATTGGCAGATTGCTGAGTATTTTTTTAAATTTCTTGAAATTTTTTACAATGCTACTGAATTACTTTCTGGAGTTTATTATCCTACTGCATATTTAGCTTTACATCAACTATTTAATATTTCAGAAACATTTTCTTATTATAAGGATACATAACTTTTTAGAAATATAGTTAAGTTAATGGAAAATAAATTTAAAAGTTATTGGTCAGGTTATCCTATGTTATATGCATTGGCAACCATTTTAGATCCTAGGTGCAGAGTAGATGAGACTGAATCATTGATGACTGCTACCGCAGAAAATTTATATATGCAACTAACTATTACTGACGCTACAAAAATGTTAGAAAAGGTTTTTAGTTTGTCTGAAGCAAAATACGACACAGGTAAAAAAGAACAGGGAACTTCGACGTCAACTAGCAGTTCGGGGCCTAAAGGATCATTGTGGAGTTTCTTAAAAAAGAAAGAGAAAACGACAGGATCATCATCAACACAAGCGTCTACCGAACTAGTAAAATATTTTGAAGCAAATTTTGTAATCGATGACGACAAACTAGACATCTTACAGTGGTGGAAGAGCAAGACCGATCATTTTCCAACACTGTCCGTAATAGCTCATGACATTCTGACAACTCCAGTGTCAACGGTAGCATCGGAGCAAACTTTTAGCGTAAGCAATCGAATTATTGATGAGAAGAGAAGCATAATGCATCCATATATCTTGGAGGGGCTAATGTGCGTTAAAGACTGAGAAGATGCCAGAAGACGAAAACAACAATACACAGATGATTTAATGCAAGAATATTTTTCTAACTTAGAAATAACAGAATCTTTTGGAAGCACTTAGGTTTGTAATTTACTATTCCTAGCTACTGCACTCTTTTTTCCTTCGCTAAGGTTTTGTCCCGATCTCCTCACGGGTTTTACTTAGCAAAGTTTTTAACGAGGCAGTCATTTATGTGTACTTATTCCTATTATGTCAATTCAATAAAATCACATCTTTTGGAGGCATATGATATATTTTTTCCGTGAAGGGCCTAGGCCCAGGCCCGGCCCTGCACTGTGGAGGCCCGTGCCAGGCCGGCCCAGGCCCGTAATGGGCCTGGTGTTGGACGTGCCGTGCCGGCCTGGCACGGCACGTTTGACATCACTAATTATAATTATAGTTTACCAAACACTCAGTTACTTTTTGTAACAGCTGCTTCTTCTTTTAACACAGTCAAAAGTAATTTTTCTAAAATCTTCAACACTATTTTTCATGATAACAAAAATCTCACTTCAAAAGTATAAATAAATAAATAACAAAAGTCTCATTTTTTCATTAAAAATTTGTTTTTTTTTTCCACATTCTATTATGTATTTTTAAGAATGTTACATATGTCTCTTGTATTTAACAAATTGTTTAAAAATATCCTATATTACATATTGTAATTAAAATAGTTGTGTAAAATGAAAATTTTGGCCATTTAAATGCAATGTGTTAAATTATATTATATTCAAAACCTCTCGACTAAATAGTGTTATGTTTTAAATTACTAGAACACTAAGAGCATGTTATTTTATTCTAATATAATTTTGACTAAACATGACATGTACTACCAAGCTCTTTTTTTTCTCTTATTCTTTAAATGGTCTCTTAAACTAGGGTGTTCAAACTTATCCAAGTTATAGTCTGAACCACACTATCATCACATGGCACCCCTAAAATGATTGTTCTTCAATACTTTATCTAGTTAATGGAACTAGTCACATGCATAACATGCAAATCATTATTCTTGGTGTAACTAGAATTTTGCTTTGTTTCTTCTTTCTCAAATGAAGTAATGGCCAAAACTTCCAGTGATATAGCTATAGACATCTTCCAATTGAAAACTCCCCTAGAGTCCCTATTTTGCTTTGCTTGTAACTTTTGATGTTATTTCATATCGAGTAAAAAATGTAAACTTACCCCCTCTGGTAATAGTTTGTTTTGAAGAAGATGATGTTATTTATTATCTTTTCAAGGGATTGAGTGAGGGTGATGTCATAGCAAGATTAAAATTCAAAAAACCAAATATTTTTTAGTAGAAATAATTAAGTGGACTTTTAGTTCACGAATTTAGAACTATAATTTAGAATTATTATCATTTTATGTGTATTTTTGTGAGAAAAAATATTATAACGAATCACAAATTATAATTCGAATCATGACACGAATTCGTATACCAAACACAATATAAGTATTAAAGCATTAATCTGGTGGTTACGTCAAAATCAAGATGAATTTTTGGGTATGTCTTAAAACTTCTTATAATAAACAGGGCTCGTTCGGTTCATTAATTTGAGTTTTTAATTTGAATTGAGATGTGATATTATGTGAAAATTTTTTATTAACGAATTTAGAACTATAATTTAGAATTATTATCATTTTATGTGTATTTTTATGAGAAAAAATATTATAACGAATCACAAATTATAATTCGAATCATGACACGAATTCATATACCAAACACAATATAAGTATTAAAGCATTAATCTAGTGGTTACGTCAAAATCAAGATGAATTTTTGGGTATGTCTTAAAACTTCTTATAATAAACGGGGCCCGTTCGGTTCATTAATTTAAGTTTTTAATTTGAATTGAGATGTGATATTATGTGAAAATTTTTTATTGTAATAAAAAAATTAAATATGATTGTTTATGAAAATTTTTTACTGTAGTAAAATTTAAATTTTAAATTCGAAGTAAAAAGAACGAGTCTTTAGAAAGTCGTCTGATCCGTGAAAACGACGTACGGTTTTGGCAAAAAAAAAAAAAACCCAGGTACGCCACAGTGACCGGTAATCATCCCGCCTCATGTTTTCCTTTTCCCCTCAAAACCTACGACTTAAAGCGCGTGCCGTTTTGCTACTGGGATTCCCATTTCCACAACAGCCACTAATATTCCGCCACCTGTTTAACTTTTTTTTTTTTTGGCACCACCTGTTTTACTTTTTTTTGTTTTGCTGAACGCACCACCTGTTTTACTTAACCAGGATTCGACCGCAAAACGACGGATCCGAGTCCTTATCAGCTGCTACTAATTTCCAAGCACATCACGAAACTATCAATCTTCACCGTTAAACTGGTAACGACGAAAAACTCATTCCTGTCAACGGTGACTATTCTCCTAAAATTCGTAACGATAACAGGCAATCCTCTCTTCCCAGATCCTCCCCGACAAGATTTTTTCATCTAGAATACTTCACGTGGGACCCGTCGAATATTTTGTATATGGATATAAATACCCCCGAGTTTTTCTCAAATTTACCACTTACATTTTCCGCTACTTGCTGTTACGCACGCGATTTCTACATTTACAGAACAGACCGAGCCTTTTTTTCTTTTTCTTTTTTTATATTTATTTATTTATTTTTGCTGAGTTTCTAATTTTGGGAATCTGGTAGAGAAATGGCAGTTTCTAGTGATTCTCAGATGAAGATCGTCAATGGCGACGCTGGTTATGTCCTCGAAGACGTCCCTCATCTTACGGATTACATCCCCGATCTCCCTGTACTTTCCCATCACTCTCTTTTTCGCTTCTTTTTTTTTTCGTTTTAATTTGTTCCTTCTTTTTCATAGATTCATTGTATAATGAAAAGTCTTCATCTTTTGCTTTGGCAACTTTTTATCAGTGATTTCTTTTTCCAGAATAGATGTTTTTTTGGTAGTGACGGCGGAAGCATACATATTTAGAAAGGGACCTCAAATTTTTTTTTTTAAGAATAGACCTTAATCGTTTTATTAAGCTACTTGTTTATTTCTGCTGATATAATCTGTTTTTTAGTTTTTTGCTGAACAATATTTGTTTATTAAGTTCTTTGGTAGAAGGTTAATTATGTTAGTTTTTGTCTGGTGTTTGATAATATGGCAGACTTATCCTAATCCATTGCGATCCAATCCTGCGTATTCAGTTGTCAAGTAAGTTTTTTTTTTTTTTTTTTTGCTTATTTTATTATTATTATTATTGTTGTTGTTGTTGTTGTTGTTTTGGTGATTTCACTGCTTTGTGGATTTTATGTTTTGATAAAGTAGGACAATTCTTTATCTGGCTTCTGCCTTTTTTCTATTTTCAGGCAATATTTTGTTCATGTGGATGACACTGTTCCTCAAAAGGTAACATTCAGCTTTTTAACTGCTTCACATTCCTGGATCTAATATAATAATATATATTGCTTGTCAAAGGGATCCCTAATTTTTCCTATACTCATAAATTGGTACAATGGCACTTGATTGTGTATGTTAATTCCTGATAGAAACTGATAGTTGTAAACATGTTCGTTCTAATTGTTTTACAGGTTGTTGTCCACAAGGATGGTCCAAGAGGGATCCATTTTCGCCGAGCAGGACCACGCCAGAAGGTACACAACGTTTTTGTGTTGGAATGTATCAAAAATCAAACCATGTGCAACTTTACGGTTTACACTTATTCATTTGTGCTGATCAGGTGTATTTTGAGTCTGATGAAGTGCACGCTTGTATCGTGACATGCGGTGGTTTGTGCCCCGGACTAAACACAGTGATTAGGGAAATTGTTTGCGGCCTTTATAACATGTATGGGGTTAACAAGATTCTCGGGATAGATGTGAGTTAATTTTTTTTGCATTTCTTAGAGCATCGACATTATTGTTTAGGTCCATTTCATGATTCAGCAATCTCAATAGCAAGTTTTATTTTCGCGTATCTTTAGGGAGGATATAGAGGCTTCTATTCTAAAAATACGGTTACTTTAACGCCCAAAGTTGTGAATGACATCCATAAACGTGGTGGTACCATTCTTGGGACATCACGGGGTGGCTACGACACCTCGAAGATAGTTGATAGCATTGAGGATCGTGGGATAAATCAGGTAAGGTTGCTCTTTTTTCCTCAGTAATTTGCCTGCATTGCAATAGATTTAACTTTTATTTGGCACACTTGTCAAAGGCTCAAGGAATCTGCATACGTAGTGATAGTTCTTACTATGATCCAGGTTTACATAATTGGAGGTGATGGAACACAAAAAGGAGTAGCTGTTATATTTGAGGTAATTATAAAAAAGGCGTCTGTAATTTTTTTCATTAATGAGATTAATTGTTTTATTAGGACAATGTTTCTGTATCGTTGCTATCATTCAAGGATCGCTTCACAATTTTGCAGGAAATTAGACGGCGGGGCCTCAAAGTTGCTGTTCTAGGAATTCCTAAGACCATAGATAATGATATTCCAGTAATCACACGACATTTTACCCATTTTACTGTATTTAAAGTCCTACAAGTCCTTTTCTTTTCTAGTGCTTAATGTTGTATTGTCTTCTCTCTTCAGGTTATTGACAAGTCCTTTGGCTTTGATACTGCTGTTGAGGAGGCTCAACGTGCAATTAATGCAGCGCATGTTGAAGCTGAAAGTATCGAGAATGGTATTGGTGTTGTAAAGCTGATGGGCCGGTACAGTGGTAATTTCTTGTTTTTGTTCCCTATTTTCATTCCACTGCTCCAATTATAGACCCACATGACATTTTAGGAAGATAGAAGCTTACACCATTTCCAGATTTTCTTTTATTTATGTTTCAGCATACGAGCCTTACATGGAGTTCTTCTGGCAGGTTTCATAGCTATGTATGCTACTCTTGCGAGCCGAGACGTCGATTGTTGTTTGATACCAGAGTCTCCGTTCTATCTTGAAGGAAAAGGTGGGCTTTTTGAATTCATAGAGAAACGACTCAAAGAAAACGGGCATATGGTTATTGTGATTGCTGAGGGAGCAGGACAAGAACTTCTTTCAGAGAGTTTGGAATCCATGAAGCAAGATGCTTCAGGAAATAAGCTTCTGCCAGATGTTGGACTGTGGTTATCTCAAAGGATAAAGGTAGAACTTTCTTTTTATTCCCAGATTTCTTCCCTTCGTTATTGTTGTTTCAGTATGTGAACAAGAGTTATGGGATTAGAATGCACAATATCTAATTGCTGCGAGTGGAAAAGTTAAATAGCAAGTGCACAGTTATCCTGTGGAACGAAACAAAAAAGAGAAAGAAAGCACGACAAAAGCAAAATATCTTCATTGAATCTGTCAGGAACCTAGCTCAGAAAATCAGCCAAACACCAATACCACACTCACACACACCAGAAACAACAAGAAAATGAGAGTAATCGGAGGGAATTTTATTAATCCAATCAGCCAAGAACACCAAATTACCAAAGGATAGATTGGAGATTTCGAACTCTCCGGCACTCCCAGCCGTTCCGGCAACACACCCAACACTCGGAAGATGAAAATACTCACTGCCTAAACCTACTGCCCTTCCCCCATTCAAATTACTCCCAGATTAGCCCTCTTGCTACGTCAGCCCATCCTAGCCACTTTCAATATTTTCCCTTGGGCCCCTAACTCTGTGTTTTCTACCCGCTTTGCCCCTCCTAGTGTAAACTTGCTTCAGTAGGGGTCTAACAGAATCATTATACTCTCTCTTCCCCTTTCTAAGTGTGGATTGGCAAATTGTTTTAAATTCACTGGTGTATTCTCCTTTTTCGTTTCTTTGTATATAAGCTAATCAAGTATTATATACGAAATATTCTTTACCACTGTCACACAGATTCCCGTTTGTTCAGTTACATTGATTAATTGCTGATATTATTATTTTTCTAGAAAAGATAAAAGGGGCATCTTACACTTCTGGTTTGATTTCAAGGTGTTTGTGATATTGTATCTCGGACTGGCAGTTGATAAGGATATCAATGTAGCTCCAAATATATTTTGATCTGTGCTTGTTTGAGTGTATTTGATTTGTTGGTTGATTTACGGTTTTCATTTCTTTTCTGCAGGATCATTTCTCAAAACAGCGTAATTTTGCCATTAATCTCAAATACATAGGTCAATTTCTCCAGATTTTCCTCCTATTTATTCTTTTCCACCTTCCAAATTTTACCCTTCCAAATATACACTATAATCGAACTTATACCTTTTTTTTTTTTTTTGCACAGATCCTACATACATGATCCGGGCCATTCCGAGCAATGCATCTGACAATGTCTACTGCACGCTCCTTGCTCAAAGTGCAGTTCATGGAGCAATGGCAGGGTACACTGGCTTCACAAGTGGGCTTGTAAATGGAAGACAGACATACATTCCTTTCCATGTAAAGTCTCTCTGTCTCTCTCTCTCTCCTCCTCCGTAGTATGTAAAGCTAAAAGCTTGACATGCTTATAAGAAACTCACCATTCTTGAACCTGGAAACTTAGAGGGAAAGATGACTTTGAACCAAAGGACAATATAGGCATTCAGATTTATAAGGAAAGTTGACGAATAAAGCATGAAAGTTTTCAATTTTGGAGTTGATATCCTTCAAAACCAGATTCCCTCTAATGTTATCCAATGAAGTACATTTCTTTCATCGTAAAAGAAAACGAAGTTGCTCTATATTTTGTGTGAGGACTTTCAGAGACTGCATTTTATGATTTTTTTTTTTTTTTTGAGTAGCTGCATTTTTGGAGTTGTTAACTATCATCTTTTCACCATTTTTTTCCCTTGTTTTAGAAAATTCCCTTCTTAGAAAATTCAATTGGATTAATATGTGTTTTACAGCGTATCACCGAGAGGCAGAACAAGGTCGTGATTACTGACAGGATGTGGGCGAGGCTTCTATCTTCTACCAACCAGCCTAGCTTTCCAAATCCCAAAGAGCTCGCTGAAGCCAAGAAGGAAAGTGAAGCCCCAACTCAGTTGTTAGATGGAGAAAATAAGGAAGATCAGTCTGTAAAAAAGACATTCCTAGCTTGACATAAACTATCAAAGTTCCCAGTTTTTGGCTCGATGCGGTTAGAGGGAACACGTGCTTATTTATTGTATCAGAACATCTTCATCTGATGAAGTTGTATTAATCAATAAGCACTCTTGATTGACTTGGCACATAAAAGATGTTACGTATGTTTTGGTTTGCTTCCCAGTTTTTGGTCTTTTGTGGTGACGTTATGTCGCTTTATTTCGACATCTTTGTAAGAGAACAAACACCTACACAGTCACACTTCTAGTTCGTTTCTGAAATGGCTTATTTTGGTCCTAAAATGACATCTCTTCTTTATGTTTTCAACTTTCAACAAGGTAGCTTTACCTAGCGGTAAATTCATAGGCACACAATGATTTAAACAGACTAAAGAACAAATTCATTTAAAAAATGTTATTGTTAAAGTATTCTCTCTTACAAGTCATCTTTCACTCAAATTTCATACAAGGAATTATATGGAATTCAAATATTCGAGCTTCAGATTGCTCAGGAAGCTGCTAGAAAGGACCTCCCATATTCAGAGATATCTACAATGCAATTAATACTTGTATATTCCAGAGGGCTCAGCGTTTTGAACAATCCAAGGATGTTCCAGAAGCTTGTGAAGAGGCAAGCGCTCTGAAGAATCCTTTACGAGCATCTGTTATTTAAAAGAACAACATGGAAATATAAAGTAAATTTTCTCCTCTATTTAGGCCAAATTGGAGAGACATTCAACAAAAAGCAAAACAGGCAAACCTGACTAATCAGGTCCTTTGCAGCAGAAGATACAATTGGCTTGGAAGGGAACTTAAGATCCACTTGCACAATCCTGAAATTCAAATGTTGCAAAATTACATTAAAAACTCAAATCTTCTTTCCGTGTTTTAATACAGACTTGCATTTCTTGCTCACCTTCTATACGTGTCTGAGTGTTCTTTGGCCTCGAAAGGAGGGACCCCATAGAGAAACTCATAGCACAAGACACCAAGGCTCCAGATATCCACGCTAGCGTCGTGTTCTACACTTTCCACTGTATTAGCATCCACAAAACTATAAGTCAGGGGAACCGTTTCAATAAACATATCCTCCTAAATCTACTATCTTTGCAAGCGGGAAAGATGTGGCCAATCTTCAGGTTGGTGGCCCTGAGAACTTAACCTCAAATTATGTATGTGGAGGAAATGATTGCTTTAACTTCTAAAATTCATGTCTATTTTTTGCCTCAAACTTACCCATTTCGGGAGGAAGATAATCCAATGTCCCACACATGGTTCGCCTGCGGTTAAATGTGTGCACTGACCACCCAAAATCTGCTATCTTGAGTTCACCCTGGCCAAATTGTTGAACATATTAGCATGATAAGCACACAATATACAGCAAAGCAAAGACCAAAAAACAAGTAGGAGTATTAGGTCAGTACCTGTGCACCAATTAAAAGGTTTTCTGGCTTTATATCTCTGTGGATTACATGTTTTCCGTGGCAATAAATGAGGGCCCGGGCCAATGATGCAACATACTGCATGTATGCACACAACCAGAACTAGTAGTCAGTTTTTTAGGGGATAAATGAGCTAACTAGCAAATAAATGTTCACATTTCACAAGGGCAAAGTCTACTAATTTTGTTTTCCATGGGCAGCTTGAGTAATGACTTGTGGAAATGATAAACAGAGAGAACTGAAGCTGAGAAGAACTGAAACACGCAGGACAAAAACAGCTTACAGTAGCCGCGCGCCTTTCGCTGAAGTATTTACACTTCTGTAATTCTTTGTACAGTTCACCTTTGGCTGCATATTCTAGTATCAAATAAACTCGTTTCTGCAACAAATACAAGAGAGAGCATCAAAGATTTATTCACCCCATAACGCAAACCCAAATTTGCAAACAAAAACAGCTCGTGCTCAAATACCTGATCATAAAAGTAGCCATAGAGACGTAAAATATTCGGATGCCGAAGATGGCTCTGTATTTCAACTTCCCGACGAAGCTGATGTTCAACTTGAGACTGCTGCAGCTGGCTCTTAAAAAGGACTTTTAGTGCCACAATGTGATTACTCTGTTTAAAACATACACAACGATTAAACTAGTGATTAACTTTGCAAGAACGTAGACCAAGTACTGAAACATGAAATTCCACAAACTTTGAACTACGAGACAGAACATAGCTCCAGAAATCAATATTGTTGAAAGTAAATTAATGCAGTTAATTATACGTCCTTTGCCCTCCAAATTAAAAATAAAAAAAACTCTAAACATGTCCAAAAGAGAGAAAAAAGAAGGGATCCAGAAGAGCTAACCCTTTTTTCTCTGGCCAGATAAACGTGACCAAACTTTCCGCGCCCTAGGGGTTTTCCGATGTCGAAGTCGTTCAGCGTCCATCTTTTTTTCTCTCCAGCCAAAACCTCCGAAGAAGTTTTCTGAAACAAAGCGAATTTGCATAAACCCTAAGATTTTTTGCGAATAATATTTCTAATAAACTAAAATCAAATTGCCATATCCACAATTTCGAGCCACGAAAACACCTAGGAGTTAGATTTTCTATTTCAATTATCATGATTTTAATTAGTGAAATGATGTAAAGCAAATTGATCGAAATAAGAAGACACCAATATTGCCATCCTTCATTCATTTCTCAAGAACCGAACAAAGAAAATTGAAAATTCGTCCGTTTCCAAAAACAAATAAACCTAAAATATTAAATTGAATCATTCTTTCTCCAAATCAAATATGGGAAACAAACCCTAGATCCTGAAGGAGAGGATTCTAAGAATTGAACTGAAAACGATCGAATATGAAAGCAATTTTCTTCAACTCACCTTCTCTTGCTGTTGATTCTCTGCTAAAATGGCCATGAGAGAGAGAGACGTAGAGAGAGAGAGAGAGGGAGAGAGAGAGAAGTAGAGAAAGAAAGAGAGAGAGGGAGAGGAGAGAGAGAGAGAAATCGAAGCGAACAACGGGCGAAGATGGGGAGAATCCAATGGAGGAGCTTTGAATAAAGAACGGCCAACGGTCGAATAAGGAGGGGTCGCCACGTGGCCAGCCCGCTCTAAAATAATTTCAAATATTTTAGATCTGATCTACTGTAAGCTCATCGCCGTTGATAATCAGAGTCCTTGCATCTGACGGACCCCACATGATCTATGTGGGCCCTTCGGCAAAACGTGCTGGATGGTCCTCCCAAAGTCCTAACGAGTAGATGCATTATTTGGGTTCAGTTTACCATGAGGAGCGTCTTTTGGAGATCTCAATTCTTATATGTGAACTAATAATGCAAGAAAATTATTCTCTCTGTAACTTTAGATTAAACTTTACCAACACCCTCAAAATTTACACACTGTTGGAATAACTCCTTCCGCTCTCAAAAAAAAAAATATATATATATATATATATAACTCCTTAATTTTAGAAGTTGTTATTATTAAGGATGGTAATTTATATCACGTGTCGTGTTTTGATCGTTTTTTTTTAAATTTACAGTAAACTCGAATACGATCCGTGACACGAAATTTTTTAAAAACCGCAACACGAACACGATATGACCCGAAAATGACCCATGACACGAAATTGACCCGTGAATCTGAAATTGACACAAAAATTGTATACTTTTATTTTTTTTTACATATTAGAAATAACTTAAAATTCATAACACACTAAATTACAATAACATCCATTGAAATTAAGCAAATAATAGTATAAGATTTTGAGTATAACTATCATGATTTTACAAATTCATAATAAAATTTAAAATATGAAATGCAAAATATATGTATTTTTTAGTTTTTTATGAGTTTCGTGTCGTATTCGGGTTAGGTGGGTCCAACCCAAAATTGACCCGTATTTTTCGTGTCAATTTCAAGTCGACATAATTTTGACCCGAATATCTTTTTTCTCAACCCTAACCCGTAAAATTCGTGTTGTTTTTGAGTCGTCTTGTGATCCATATTATCTGTCCTAGTTATTATGGACCATAAACTTCAACTTGTGTGTCAATGTTGCAACTTTTTTTTGTTAGTAAGCAATTAATGATCTCATGATTAATTAAGAAAAAACATGGTATAATACTCATGATGTGACATGATTAATTTAAAAAATACATTTTTTCATATTATCTTTCCCGTCAAAACCTTCAACTCATCACTATATTTAGCGCAAAGATATGGCGCCTTACCCCGCGCCGTTCCTTTATGCCATCTAAACGCTGATGCATGTGGCGCGCAAAGGAATAGTGCTGCGCCTCAACACACTTCAACCCACGCTATGCACTTTTTTTTTTTTTTTTTTTTTGCTTTATTTGAAATAAAAGTTCACACTATGTTTTCAATACATATTTTTACCCTAAGTTCATAGTTTTGACCAAAATTTTCTTATTTTTGCTATAAAAAAAAACAAAAATTCTTCCTTTTGTATCCCATTTTTTATTTTAATGATTTTGGTTCCATTTTTTATTTTATTGATTTTGGTTAAGTTAAATATTTAGTCAAAATGAACTAAACTAATATGTAGTTGACTATGGTCTTTGGATATGACACGCATATATTGGCTTGATGGACTCCAACAATGACATCAATGTGTTAAGAGTCACCCCACCTTTTTTACAGTCATCCCACCTTTTTTATTAGTTTATTATTCTTTAAGTGTTGGTTAAATAATAAAATATATTATTGCATTAATATGTTACCGATATATATATGTGCATGATTGGTGAAATAGATTATTATTATTATTATTTAAAAAAAAAAAAAGCTAAACGCAGCGTTTTAAGGGATGGTGGTGGACGGACAGCCCTGGCTAAAAGCGGCGGCAAAAAACCCGGCCTCTTGAGAATTCCCGAACGACGTCGTTTGGCTTTTTCCCGTCTTTGGGCAACCGTCTTCAACGGAAGATAAGTCTCCGTCGTTGTATATTCCTCTGTTCGCTAAATTAACAAAATCAAACAAACAAAACAAAAGATTTAAAATTCAAACCAGTCTAATCAATTTCGCTTTCCTTTTCCAGATAAAGAAAAAACAAGAAATTAGAAATTGCCCTAATTCCCATTTTGAATTCACACTCACTGGCAGTACAAACTTCATCAGTTAAAACCCTAACCAGAATTCCACATTGCTTCCAGTTATCGACAATGGTAAGCTTCTGTTTAAAGTCAATTTCATTTTTTTTTATAATTGTGTTCTTATGGTTTGAATCTCTGTTTGTGTAGTTTTCAATTGCGGCGATCAATGATACGGATTCCAAAGGCCAGTGGGAACCCTTAGCTCCCACCAAAGAAGCCCAGGCATTTCTCGTTCTCTCTCTCTTTCTTTCTCTTTTTCTGTCGAATCATTATTATTTTTTAGGTTTTCTTATGTTTTGGTTTCTTGCTTCAAGAACGCCTTACATATTGATTGTGCTGAATTTCAATGTCTTTGAGCTCACATTTGGCGTAAATTTTGCTATTCTTTTGGATTGTTTTGAGTTTGATAATTGAGTAATGAGAGTGAAAATTTTCGGTTCTTTTAAGTTATCAGTACTTATTATGAAGTGGGGTTTTCTTCAATTGAGGAGTATTTTGGATTTTTTTTTTCAATTGAAAAGTTTTATTTGTGACGTTTTGTTTGGTAATATCAGGAATTTCATCTTTCACAAACTTATCATGAGGGACTGCTTAAATTGCAAGCTAAAGAGTACGAAAAAGCTCGAGAGCTGTTAGAATCTGTCTTGAAAGATCCTCTTATAGCAGATGCCCAGGTACTAATTTCTTTGGAAGAACATTTCATGTGCCTTCATTTTCTTTGTTAATTGTTTTTATTTTTAATTTATTTTCCTCTTTTATTGATTTTGCAGGTTGATGGGAATGCTAGTGATGGACATCTATTGCAACTCAGGTAAATTCATTATATATGCGCTACAGTGTTTCTGTATGATGCATACTTTTTAAGTTTTTCTATTTTTTCTCCCTTCCATGCGTGTCTGCATTTTGCTTTTCAACCTAGTTGATGGTAAGTTACTAATCGTATTTTTTGCATGATTATCATTCCTTTCAATTTCTTTATCTGTACCATTGACAGGATTGTGACAATTAAGCTATGTGTCCTTTTCTGGCTATATAACTACATAGTTTTGAAGCCAGTTTTATATCCCAAAGGATCATAGAATACATCACTAACTTTTTTCTTATAATTTTTCTTTTTCTAATAGGATAAGGAGCTAGGAATAGTATGAAAATTTCTATCCGTTGCTCTGGACAGATTTGTGTGTTTCAAATGATGAATTAGACGAGTAATGGGGTTTTAACAGCAGTATAGATAGATGACTTTTTTTTTAATATATTAAATTGATCTGGTGTCAGTTTTCACAGATCAATTTATAAATTATATGTCGTCTAACTGCTTATCTTGGTAACTACAGATTTTTGGCACTGAAGAACCTTGCCTCTGTTTTTCTTCAACAAGGTTCATCGCATTATGAAAATGCTTTACACTGTTACCTTCAAGCTGTAGAGATTGATACCAAAGATTCTGTTGTCTGGAACCAGCTGGGAACGTTATCATGCTCAATGGGATTGTTGAGTATTTCACGCTGGGCATTTGAGCAAGGGCTTTTGTGTAGTCCTAATAATTGTGAGGATTTATTTATTCTTCAAATATTTCAGACCTCTTTGTTTGCTATATTTTTGTCGTGTACATAACTTTCTTCTTTCATGATTGTGCAAAAATCATCTTTCTCTGGACTATGTGTGCAGGGAACTGTATGGAGAAATTACTGGAAGTCCTTATTGCTATTGGTGATGAAGTTGCATGTCTTTCTGTCGCAGAATTGATTTTGAGGCATTGGCCATCACATTCTCGTGCTTTGCATGTGAAGAGAACCATCGAAGATTCAGAACTGGTTCCATATGCTCCTAGAGGTATAGATAAGTTGGAGCCCAAACATGTCCGGCTTAAATTCCTTGGTAAGAGAAAAGCAGCTGATGAGAATCTTGATGAGGGTATTGCATGTAAAAAGCTGAAACAGGACTTAGAAATACAAATGACAGAAGCTTCCTGGGTAGGGCTTGCTGATGTACTCTTGGATGTCTTACTTCCACTGAATTGTTGTGATGTTGAGAAGGGTCGGGAAAAAGCATACAGATCTGGGGACGTCAGGCTAATTATTCACCTACCTTCTGGTTCAGAAAATACTACTGGGTCTCGGTATGAGGAAAGGAAAGGACTTAACCTAACCCCAATCGCTAAAACTACATCACTAGGTGATTCTAATGCTGAAATAGTAGGTGCTGTTAAAGAAACATACACAAATGTTATGGAAGAACAACCACAGGAAAGGAGGAGTAATCGCCTTAAGAATCGGAAACCAGGGAAAGAAGATCTAGACTTTGTTAATGATAAGGACCAGGCCAAGGTTGTAATTCAATATCTAGAAGCTTTTATTGCTTGTGAACCAGGGAAAAAGGACACTGTAAATTCTACTAACTGCTCCATATCATGTCGTGATCAAGTTAACCCATGTGATATCGAACAGAGTGATGTTTACCAATTTCTTACAAAGACCTCAAACAATTTTGGTGCTTATCATATGGGTCACTTACTTTTAGAACACTTGGCAAGTAAGGGTCTCATGTATCAAAACACATTTGTCAAATTCCTGGATTTGGAGAAGATGACAAGACATTGGGGAAAGGAGAGGACCCCTGAGTGTAATCTTTTTCTCTCTGAGCTTTATTATGATCTCGGATCTTCTTTTTCTGATGCTTCCAGAGTATCAGAATTCATGTCGGACGCGTCCTATCATGTTTGTAAGATTATTGAATCTGTAGCTTTGGATTATCCTTATCACTCGAGTTCTAACTTGGAGGATGAAGGAAGCTCTAGGCTCCTAGGATCCCAAGGCAGTGGTGGCTCTATGTCCCCTAATTTACCAGCAAACAGTTTGTCTCTAATAAATAACAGCTCTTTCTGGGTCCGGTTCTTTTGGTTAAGTGGACGGTTGTCTATTTTCGATGGTAACAAGGAAAAAGCCCATGATGAATTTAGTACTTCTTTGTCACTTTTGGCAAAGATGAAGAGTACAAATGGTTCTGAATGTTTTGTATGCCTCCCACACTGCAAAGTTGTCAAAGAGATTACTATGGATGGTGTCCTCCATCAAATTAATATTTTGAAGGTTGATTTCTTGATGCAGAAGACTTTGGTTGAGATGATTGAGAAAGAAATGTATGTGGAGTGCGTGGCCTTGCTTGCCCCACTCCTAGTCTCTACAAAAGATGTCCATCTTGATAGACTACCTTTACCCTCCACGGATAAAGAAGGTGAAGAAATTACCTCTCTTGAACTATCAGCTCTTGACATTTTACTAAAAGCATGTGAAAAGACAAACCCAATGGACATTGAGGTGTATTTGAACTGCCATCGGCGAAAGCTGCAAATACTTGTGGCACTAACTGGAATTGATGAATCTCTTGCTTATAGTAAATCCTTTGATCCGAAGTCCGGAACAAAAGCACTTTCTTCTTCTGAGATAGAAGTTAAAGAATGTTCAGGAAAGCGCTTCAATTTCTTGGTATTTGAGGAAGTAAAGGCAATATCTCAATGCGTCTCACAAATTAAGAACTTTGTTGATTCATCCGGAGATTCTGTAAGTCATACTCTTTTATAGCGTAACCTTGTCTTTGCTGTCCTGGTCAACTGAAAGTTTAGTATCTTGTGTCGCCTCATTATTTTGAAACCCAAAAATGCAAGTTAAAAATTATGATTGTAATGGAAACTATTCTTATTTTGTCAGAAGAACTTCATGGCAGAGGAAACTATACTTATTTTGTCAGAAGAACTTCATATCTCTGCCTTTAACTTGATAATCACTAAGGTTCCAGAAAGAAAGAAAGAAAGAAAGAAAGAAAAAAAAAGAAAAAGAAAGAAAACTCGATAATCACTATTGTGGTCCATCAAAATTGTATATTGGACCAGTCTAATGTAGTCATATCCGTTCCATGTAGTTAAATCCTTGTGAAAAAAAAAAAAACGCAATCCACCTATTCTTTTTTAGTGAGGAAGGGGTAAAATTAAGAAGCATTTCAAATTATGATGGAAAAGGGTGTTTCACACTAAGATTCCTGTACGGAGCATATTTTAGGTATCTTTACAATGCATTTGGGACTTCTTTCCTCATTTGACTTGTATTATCAAACCCAAGTGTTTAGTTACCTGGTATATTTCCAAGTTGAGTTGGTTTGGCTGTTCATACTTTCTTCACTCTAATTCCTTTTGTTTATGCTGTCCATGGCAATCCTTTAATTGCAGGATGGAACTGCTGTTTCGGGAGGAATCCTTAATGATATTCAGTCATTGCTGTTGACGGTTATGTGCAATGTTGCTGGTATATTCCTCTGTAAGAAATCTTCTGGGCAAGTAATTGCTGATCAAACTGAAAGAAATTGTTTTGTTGAAGCAGCTATTGCTTTCTGCAAGCTTCAACACCTCAACCTTATGGTTCCTGTTAAAACTCAAGTAAGTCATATATTTGTTCTTTTTGAAGTTTATTCCCCCTACTTGTGAAGAACTGGATTGCTAATAAACTCTTTCTTTCAGTTAATTATTTACCGGTTACTGTTATTGTTCCACACTTTTTTATTTATTTATTTGTTTGGCCCTATGTAATGTTTTCTGACTTCACGTCTTAGGTTGACTTAATTGTTGCAATGCATGATCTACTTGCTGAATATGGGCTCTGCTGCGCGGGAGAAGATGGCTCAGGGGAGGAAGGAATATTTCTCAAATTTGCAATTAAGCATCTTTTGGCCTTGGATATGAAGGTTAAATCTAACAAGGAAACAACCTACTGTGATGAGCAACCTAGCCTCGATACTTGTTCAAAGATGCCTGTAAATGAAGCAAAATTGGAGTCACTATATGTTGAAATGGTCAAGGATGGAAAAGATGAAACTGGTGCTGTGGAGAAGGATGCTTGTGAAGGGGTGCCTTCCCAAAGCGTTTCATCTCATAAAGCTCCAGATAAAGACGTGGGAGTCGTTGGTGGAAACCAAGACTGTAATAGGTCCAGTGATAAATCTAAAAGTGGGGAACAAACAAGAGATCAATTGATTGAAGGCGTACATGAACTCACTGAAGATGAAAAGGAGGAACTTGAATCAAAAATTGATGCAGCTTTGGATCAGTGTTTTTTCTGCTTATATGGCCTGAACATTAGATCTGACACATCCTATGAAGATGATCTAGCCACGCACAAAAATACTAGCCGCGGAGATTATCAGACCAAGGAACAGTGTGCAGATGTCTTTCAGTACATACTCCCCTATGCAAAGGCTTCTTCCGTGAGTTTCCTTTCTCTATATCTTCAGTTTGTTTGTTTCAAACTCCAACATGTGAAGGTTTTTGTTTTTGTTTTGCTTTTTTTTTTTTTTTTTGGTGTTTGATGTTACTTGGGTTCAAGCTTCGTGATGCTAGAGCATCTGAGTCTTCGATCTGACCTTTTATTTGGCTGTATTTATGTATATGTGGCCAGAGAACCGGATTGGTAAAACTTCGCAGAGTACTGAGAGCCATTCGTAAACATTTTCCACAACCACCAGAAGACGTTCTGGCTGGAAATGCATTGGATAAATTCTTAAATGATCCCGACTTATGTGAAGATAAACTCTCAGAGGAGGCTGGTTCTGATGGGTTTCTCGAAACCATGACAAAGACAATACTTCCCCATTTGGGAAGCTTCAAGAAGCATAAGATGTCATTGGTTGGAAGGTATACATGAGCAGAATGCTACATGTGCACTGAACTTTTAATTCAACCTTTCCCAATAAATGGCTACAAGCGTGAACTGAATAATCCTAAGTAATGGGCTGTCTGCTGTCTTTGCAGCTCTGAGCCATATCTGGAGGTTTACAGTAACTTGTATTATTTCCTTGCCCTGTCTGAGGAAATGAGTGCAACAGATAAGTGGCCTGGCTTTGTACTCACCAAGGAAGGGGAAGAATTTGTACAGCATAATGCGAACCTCTTCAAATATGATTTGTTGTATAACCCTCTAAGATTTGAAAGTTGGGAACGACTTGCAAATATATATGATGAGGTCGATTTGTTATTATTTTATCATTTTCATTTTCTAAGTGCTGCAAAGTTATGAAGTGCCACCTTTTTTGTGGCTTCAAATATTCATGGCCTACATATAATTTCTTTAAAAATTCCTTTTTGTTATTATGGAAACAGGAGGTAGATTTGTTGCTAAATGATGGAAGTAAACACATCAATGTAGCGGGATGGAGGCAGAACGCTACGTTGCCTCGGAGGGTTGAGACAAGTCGAAGGAGGAGTAGGCGCTGTCTGCTAATGAGTCTGGCTTTGGCAAAGACATCAGCCCAACAGGTTTTGCTTACTTTCTATTTCTATTAGCGTAGATTGTGGATTTCTTTTTTCCTGTTTCTTGAACCATTCTGCTGTATGGGCGTGTGATTAAATTTCAGCCCTCAAAACTATATGTATGCTTTTAACATTCACACACATTATTTGTTGGATATTCTAAACTAATCTAATGAACATTTTTGTGGTTCAGTGTGAGAAACATGAGTTATTGGCGTTGGTATACTATGATAGCCTGCAGAATGTGGCACCATTTTATGATCAGAGATCTGTTGTACCTGTAAAGGATGCAGCGTGGATAATGTTTTGTGAGAACTCAATGAGACATTTTAAGAAAGCCTTTGCCCACAAGTATATTTCGTCTCTTTTTATTTCTTTACTCATTTGTAAATCTTTATAATAGTTTTGCAAACTGTGATCCATGTTTGTTGTTTTCATGAGATTAAGTCGTTTATACCGTACATAATGCACTGCCTCATGTGCAAAGTCAACTAAGTATTCCTTCTATTACAGGCAAGATTGGTCCCATGCGTACTATATTGGGAAACTCAGTGAAAAGCTTGGATTCTCTAGTGAGATTTCACTATCATATTATGATAAAGCTATTGCTTTGAATCCAACAGCTGTAGATCCTGTGTACAGAATGCATGCTTCACGTTTAAAGTTACTATGTCGATGTGGAAAACAGAATCTAGAGGCTTTAAAGGTTTTCCTTTTTTTTTAAAAAAAATTATCTTGTAATTTTGTCGAATTGACAATATTTTTTTTTTGGCATTTTTTTAGTTTCTAACTATGCCTTTGGCCATTCCAGGTTATTTCAACGTATGCCTTTAGCCAATCAAAAAGGGATGCTGTCACATCTATCTTAGATAAAATCTATGCTGAAAATTCCCAAAAGGATAGAAGCACACAAGAAGAGACTGAAGAGATGAAGCGTGTTAAACGGGAGGTCTGGAACATTCTCTACAGTGATTGTCTTTCTGCCCTTGAGACCTGTGTCGAAGGGGATCTCAAACATTTTCATAAAGCTAGATATATGCATGCTCAAGGTCTATATAAACGGGGTGATACTGGTTATCTGGAGAGGGCGAAGGATGAACTCTCTTTTTGCTTTAAATCATCTCGATCATCTTTTACAATAAATATGTGGGAGATTGATAGCATGGTCAAGAAAGGAAGGTAAATCTCTGAAATTATCTTCTACTTCTATCTTCTGCATATGAATCTGGAGTATTTGGACACCAGCAGAAAACAGAAAGTTCATAGAGTGTGTCTATGGTTCAAATCTCAAGTAGCATTTTTGCAAAAATAGTATGTTTTTAGCATTTTTCTTTTTTCAGTGAACAGGGATAAGAGAATCATAATAAGACGGCGCCTTCATGATTTTGCTGTAGTTGATTCTGTAGCTTAAACATATGCTAATGACTCATCACTAGGTCTAGTGCAGGTTTTTGGTTCTATAATTCGGGTTGTAGTAGCATTCCGTCCATGTAAAACATGTGCTGTTATATAAAAGCAAACTATATTGAATCTCAATTTTAGCATCTCTCTAAAAACAAAAAATAGAGGGGAAAAGAAATTATCATTAATGCTATGTTTGGTAGGATGGATAGAAAAGATGAAGGAAAGAGAAATAAATACCTAGGTGAAGGAAGTAAAATGATTTTTTCTCATGTTGTTTGGTAGAAGAGGAACAAAAGTGAAAAGAAAATGTCAAATTTAAGACATTTTACAATAATACCCCAATACAAATAAAAATATGATGAATGATGAAGGTTAAAATTGTTATTTTACATCTCATTTTTTGTCAAACTTTTTCCCTCCTCTTTTCTTCCCAAAGTTGGAAGGATTAAAAATTGGTGGGCCCCATGGATTTTCCTTTTCCTTCCTCATTTCCTCTCTACCAAACAACCTAAAATTCCATTTTCCTTTAGAAAATCCTTCATCTATTTTCTTTTCTCTCTCTTTTCCACCCTACCAAACACACTGAACCTCATGCAACATGAAAAAAGAACAATGATTTTTTCACCCATGCTTGTGCGTTGTCCTACAGCCCCCTCTCTTTAATGCTGTTTAGTTGCCTTTACACTAGTATCGTAAGAAACTATTTTATTCAGATCCTTTCTTTGTACAGAAGCAAGGTAATTATTTTATCGAGTTACTTTCTTTGTACAGACGCAAAACTCCCGGTTTATCTGGAAGCAAGAAGGTCCTTGAAGTTAATTTACCTGAAATTTCTAGAAAATTTATCACTTGCATTCGCAAGTACCTACTGTTCTATTTGAGACTGTTAGAGGAGATCGGAGACATCTGTACACTTGAACGTGCTTATATATCTCTTCGAGCGGATAAAAGGGTAACTATGTAATCCCGATTAATTGAAATCTGGCAAAATATAAACATTGGTGGCCCATATTTTTAGAAGTAGTGGACTTTTATTTTCTTTAGGCTTCAATATTTTCATGGAGGTTCTTTTTCATAAACAATGTAATCAGGGAAATTCTCGGCTTAATTATCGATCTTCTTTCCTGCTTTCAGTTCTCTTTATGCATCGAAGATCTTGTTCCAGTAGCACTCGGAAGATACATTAAGGCCCTTGTTTCATCCATGCTTCAAGCTAAGAAGGTTGGCTCTGGTGCTCTAAGCAATTCTGAGCATGTACTGGAGAAATTGTTTGCTTTGTTCATCGAACAGGGAAACTTATGGCCGGAGTTATGTGCCTTGCCTGAGATTAAGGGTCCAGAAACATCAGACAGCAGCTTATATGGGTAAGATTTCGAGCAACTGTAAAAGCAATTAATTTCTTCTTCAGTTTCATGGATTTGACTAAAAATGCTACCTCTAGTTTTCATGAGAGTAATACATTCCTTGCAATGCTGCAGATATCTCCATGAGCACATCACTACATTGGAGAGAAATGGCAAACTGGAAACGCTTGAAGCAATAAATGAGAAGATTCGTAAGCGTTTTAAGAATCCAAAATTGTCAAACAGTAACTGTGCTAAGGTTTGCAGGCATGCTTCAGTTGCATGGTGTCGATCTCTTATAATCAGCCTTGGACAGATCACGCCAACCCCAGCTCTATCCTCCAGTGAGACTCAAGTTCTTTGTCAATCAGATAGTGGGTTGGAAAACCCACTGCTTTGTGTTGATTTGCAAACAGATGAATTATGGAGTTCAGCATTTGAGGACCCAATTCAATTGAAAACTCTTGAAATAAAATGGAGGCCAATATTGTCTAAGATCAAATATGTGATGATTATGAAAGCTTCAGATGAAAATTTGGAGATTGCCAGTGCTTTGCTTAGATCTGCTTATAACTTTTATCGCGAGAGCTCTTGTGTAATGCCCCCATCTGGTATCAACCTTTATTTGGTTCCATCTTGGTTAGCAATGGAGAAACAATTTCAACCAAACATAAATGGGGTTGAAACTCTTGATCTCAGCGTTCCAAGGAAGCTTATATTGTGGGCCTACACACTATTGCATGGACGCTATGCGAACATCTCAATTGTTGTAAAGTATTGTGAAGAAAATGCAAAGGCAAGGAAATGAGATTTATACATGCATACATATACGTATTATACAAATAACGTATATGCATATATATGTTATAATTACTGGCCTATATTTTCTTTCCCATCCTCTTGTGGCTAACTTGATTGCGAAAGAATTGTTTCAACTATTAAACAACGGGGTATTTGGATGCCACAGAGCATGCCTTTCTTATATGTCTATACTCGTTGTACTTTCAATTGGAAACAAGAAAAGATCATATGAATAAGTTTCTTGTAATAAAAGAAACAAAATTTGACGAATTTTCTCATGGAATTCGTTTCTGTTTTGCAGTCAAAGCTGAAAAAAGGAGCTGGAATTACATCTGCTTCCTCGCATACAAACACATCCTCGGCCACTGCCCAGACAGGTAATGATTGTCTTTCGTTTCCTCTTTCAGTAACCTTTTGCAGACAGACTTTGATGTAGTCACTGAACAAGTGCTTATCCAGATCATATATCAGTTTACATTTGGAACTTCTTTTCTTGTGCATTCTACTATGGAAGAGAACAGCGACCAATAGTGCACATTTCTAATTGTAAAATCAAATCAGAAATCTTCGGATTCGCATCTCTGACAAAATTTAATGGAAACCTAATGGTCTTCAAGCTAAATAATAATAATAATAATAATAATAATAAAATGCTGATAGTCGTTGGCACTATGGTTGTAGGTGGTGTGAGAGATGGAGCTGGCTGTGGGATAGGTAGTGATGCTGAGGCTGCTCCACTGACCACAGTAGCGAGTGCTTCAGTGCCTGAGGGCAATGCCACTGATTCTGCAAATCCGCCGCCTTCTTCGGCCGAGAGTCAAAAGGGTTTATTCTCTGCTCCACAACTTCACCATTGTAACAACTCCATTGTAGAGAGGAGTCACGAAGGAGATCATCCCGGTAGAGGCTGATTATATATTATAGGCAAGCTGCATTCAACTGTACATATTGTTTAAAAATTTGTTTAGAGGCACGTTAGGCGAAGGAATGTTATGACAACAATTTTGTTGTTCACATTCCCCTTGCTTTTGTAAAAAATGGAATAGCCAACTATATATTTATGGAAATTATTTTCTCTGAAAAATATGCAGATGGAATTAATTTTTTTCTTCATTTTTATGTGTTTCCTTATTATTATTTTTTTTCTGAAGATAATTTTGGGGTGGATTCATGGCCCCGATTTCTCTATTTTCATCTATTTTTACCAATTTAAATTGACAAAATAAGATATTTTTAGCATTTCTTCTCAACCTAGAATATTTTTCAAATTAAAAATTTTACGCAAACTTTGTTATTTTAAAATTTCCTAAATTCTCAAGAAAAATGGAAATAATGTAATTCTAAAAAGCAAGGGTGCCATGAAAAAATGATATGGTGAGATTAATTGATTTGGAGCGAAAATCCATCAACCGCATAAAGAAAACGTTTGGAGAGAAATCAAACCAAACTAAATTAGGGCGTTAGTTTGGACTTAATGAGTACAATAATTTTAGACAAGTAACGGAATTGAGTCGATTGTGTAAAATTTATCATTTTATTAATTAGTTGAAATTTAAAGAACGGAGACATTTTAAAAAACAGTCCATATTTTAGAGGACATCTATGAAACTGATTTTAAAATTCACGATTGTTATAGTGAGGTACATCCATGAAATCTAAGACAAATAAAAAAAAAAGTAATAGATCATAAAATTAACAGCTGATATGTCATTAATTTACGTGGTCTATCACTGATAAACGACAAGCCAATTTTCTAATTATAAAAAACTTCAGTGATTTACTAAAAAATAGTTCAAAAGGGTCATTTTTGCACATATTCAGAATATCCGATTTTTTAGTACAAACATCCCCTTAATTCTATGCGTTTGGCAAGTCGGTCCCTCAATTTTTGATCTTGACAATTTACTATATAAATTTTAAAATACATTGCAATTTACGTGCTTGGAAGGTGTTGAGGTCCAGTAGATCCAGAGGGTATGACGTAAGAGGGGTGTGCACATGTAAGTATTTAAATCGTTGGTGGTGGTTCCAACGTGGTCAAAATACTTTATGGAGGACCTCCGATAATGGTGTGGTTCGCTTAGGCCCAAATTCGGCCAAAGAACACGTGTTCTCGGACCTTTTTTGTTGCCAAATTCATGAAAATACTCTTGCAAAAAGAGTGAGAAAATCCTAAAATAGTAATGAAGAACTTCACGAGTGCAGAATAGTGGGAGGAGTAATCACGTAGTTGATGGATGAGTGACTCGAGAGGTGGATGAGACTTTTTGATGGAGAAGGGCTCCAAAAGCAGTTTTTGAGCTACTTTGGAGGCTTTGAGTATGTAGCATCGCTGGTGGATAAGGCGTTGATGGAGAAAAAAGTGGTATGGAGGAGTCTAATGCAGGTTGTTTTGAGAGCGTGGAGACCGTTTGGCGCACTCTCTCGGACGGTGGATGAGAGTGACTCTGAGGTTGGAGGCTTAAGCACAAAAACAACTCTCAAAACATTCTCAGGTAGTGTTGGAAGAGGATTAAAAAGTGTTCTTGAGGAGTTTCTAAGGAGGTCAACACTTAAAAACTATGAAGTTCCTCAAGAACTTGAAGAAGGCTTCAAGTCCTTGTAGCAAAAGACTTAAAGAAAACACTCAGAAAGAGATTTTGGAGCGAATTCTCAAGAGTTTCAATACTCAAGAGAGTGATATTAAGATTTGATGTATTGATATGGTGTTGGTGGTAAAATGAAAAAGGTGAGGGGGTATTTATAGGAGGAGATAAGAGTGTTTGACAATTGCTCTGACAAAGGTCTGAACACTCATTTCCTTTTCGAGGAAGGCTATTAGAGGCCTTTCTTGGTTTTGACAAAGAGATGGTCTGGAAATGGAATGTAAGATTCTGGAATGGAAGAAATGGTGGCGGGCTGTCAAAGCATTCCCATTCGGAGGAAAGGTGTCAGATAGCTTTTTAAGTTTGACAAAGAGACTCACTAAAAATAGGATGAAATTTTTTTGAAAATTTACTCCGGCGGCGTTCTGATGAAGTGAGGCATAACTCATTCCGTTTGGAGTAAAATCCCAGCTATCTTGTCTGAGGAGGCAAAATGACACCTTAGAAGTAAAAATACTTGAAGGCCAAGTTCTAGATTTTAGGCTGACACGAAGTGACTTCAGACTTGAAATCTCCAAGAGTGTTTGACTCAACTAAGTGTTCCGAAGACTTTCCTCTTTGGGGGTCTGATCGTGTGTCAGACCTTTGTCGGAGATTGTTTGTATGAGAATGACCAAGCAGCCATTGTACTTGCTCTGACAATAGATTGCTCCGAATGTGCACGAGTGCTCTGAATGGACAACCTGATACGAAGAAGAGCTGGGAAAGCATGTCTGACACAAGAAGTGCTCCGAGAGGCATGTCTAGTCGTAGGAAAAGCCTCCGAATGAGCTAAAACTAATGGTTTCTCAGGCCTTGAGTTGGAGAAGATTTCTGAATGATCAGGCTTGGGGGCCTTTCAATGGCTGAAAAAAAGGATTTTGGACTTCTAAAGACAAGAGGAAGGCTTTTTTGGGTTAAATCATCCATCACTCATTCATACTTAATTTGACTAATTCTGAAAAACCCTAAGCGGGTTTCAAATTGAGTTAAATTAAGGACAAATGGGCATATGCGATCACTCATGGCCCACCAAATCACAACCCACAAGAGTTCTCTGAGCGTGAATTGAGTTTACAAAACGAACCCAATTACATCGTGGGACACAAAGGATTGGGCCTGAACCCTTAATAAGCCTGGTACGAATTCAGGTATCAACAGAAAGTTTCTTCCTATGAACGTTTTTTCATTGAATTGATCCCCATATACACATCAGGAGTAAAAAAAACTTTTAAATTGGGGTTATTACCATTTTGGGGGAAAAAATCCAGAGTTCCTATTTTTTATGGAACCAACATCTTTAGGGACTTTTCTTTTTTTTTTTTTTTTTTTGCACAAAACCCGGAATATTTTTATCAGATGGGCTTGGATAGAGTCTGATAAGACTATTAGAGTGGCAGACGAGCCAGCAAACACACAGAAGTGTGAACACAGCAAAATGGGAAGTAGAGCTCTGGTTATGGCGAAAGGACTGAAATGTTTCCCATCTCCTAATCACCGCCATCAAACCTTCAATCTCAAGCCTCTCCTCTTTCTTCCAAACAACAATTCTCTACGAAGAAATTCCTCAACTTCAACGTCAACGACTGTCTCCTCTCTTCAACCTCCCGACGTGCCTCGCTTGGCTCAAACTGCCCAAATCTCTCTCGCTCCTCATGAGGTTCTCTATCTTTCTCTCTCTACTCGTGATTTTAGATATTTCTCGATTATTTCAACGAAATGTGTTTTTCTTTTCTTTTTTGTTTCTCCTGATTTTTTTTAAAATTTGTTTCAGGTGGAAGAATTCGCTCCTAAAATCCGTCAAGTCATAGATTGGTATTTATCTTTCTGTTTACCAAACTATTTTTTTCAGCAAAGAAGGAAAAAAAAAAAGAGAAAAAGAAAACTGTTTCGAACTTTATTTTTTGTTTTATATAAAAGTTTTCGGTTAATTTTCTCTGTAAAGAAAGAATGAATTTCTTGTTATGTTTTTATTGAAAGAGAAGCGAATATATACACCATACAGACATCAATTTAGATCCTAGAATAAAGCATATACACTGTATTGTCTATTCACACTAATACATAAATGTAAACAAATCAATTGGAATTGATGATAGTTGACTGAGATGATTGGAAGATCCCGGACTTTGTGCATTGATTGACTTTTCATTCCTTAACACTCCCCCTCAAGTTTAGAATGTATGTTGATAATTCCTAACTTGCCAAGTAAAGTCGAAAAATGTGAAGAACTCAATGGCTTCGTAAAAATGTCGGCTGGCTGGGGGGGTG